GCCTGTTGAACTACAATAGGTGCAGACAGACTGAGCCGAGACTTTACGTTTTCACAAGAAATATCTGCAGTGAGATCCTTTTCCCATAGCTTTCAAAAGAAATAAAACAGATCTTCACAGAACATCCAATAGACTTGAAAAATATCAAGTGTGAATTTTACTAAAAGTTAGTAGCAATACCATTTTTTAAAATCTCTGCCCACCAACAACGAATCAGATTATAAATGCATTTTAACATCAACTGAATAACTAACTATAATCTACATTTACACATTAGAAAAGTATGTTTGAAAAATGTTAAGAGTGTGAAATGTTAAGAGTATGAAAACTACATAAAATTAGAAAAAAATAGAATACTTTCTTCAGAAGGCAACTCAACCTGGATATTAAAACATTGGATTTTGTTTTTCCTTTTCAATTTGGTAAGTAGCTGTAATTCAAAACCATCATAGCAATCCTGAGGGAATTTAAAAAGAGGCATTCACATCAAAGAAGTTCTGCAAGAGGAAATCTACAGGTTGTTCTTTAATGCAAGTTGCTGGTAGTGGACAAAGCAGTAGCTCCTCTGCTACATGACCCCTTTTTATCTTGCTGAATTCCAGAGGGAAACCAAATGCCATTAATACTGCTGAAAGATCCTTGCACTGCTACATGAAGAATTTCACCTAATCCAAGCAATAGAGTTTTGTATTTGGAATAAAGGAATGTATTATAAAAATGTTAGAACGAAGATGCAGTGTAACGAAAACCTCAAATACCAGAGATCGCTGCAGCAGCATTCTTGCTGTGTGCTGTAGCACAGATGCAGAAAAATACTGTGGGAGGAGAGGTCTCACATCAGCGCATTGTCTGAAACAACAGACAGCAAGGTCCTACGACACAAGGCAAGGTCAATGCAACTGGAGAGTCATCTGTTTAAGAAAACATACTATTATTAGATGCAAGTTATGCAGCACTTGTGCATACTAATGGAATAAAACCATTACCCCCAAAATAAATGTTTTTAAATGGTAGCTTTGCCTTTGCGCTCAATGTTTCCACTTTCTCTGTCTTTTTTAAAATACTTCAGTATGAACAACAACAAAAAAGAAATATTCAAGTACTTTCAATATTATGAAGTGGTACGGCATTTGTAAAATCTAATAATATTCAATTTGTTTAAATGAGCTGCTCCATTGAAATGTTATACCAAATTAAGTATTACTTACTGATAGCAACATAGAATAAAAAGTATCCAAGAGTTGACAGCCTACTTAAACTATTGATATACCTCAAACTTCTGTGAATGAAATATTATAGTAAGTACATTGGCCTATAGAATACACTTCCTTGCATGAGACTGAAACCTGCACCATATCCATACCCAGAAGTTATACTGGGCTACGTAAGAATTTCAGATGTCAAGAGCACAGAAGGAAGCTCTCTGTCACATCACGTATTTCACAACGTTTGGGTCTCTGCTATTTCAAATCATTCACTGAAAGAGCCGGTATTACCTGAGGCTCCATCACCGGCTGCCTATAAATTCAAGAAACTTAGTGGGATCTGAAAGAAGGATACATCTGGTAGAAAGAGCTTAAAGTTGAGCTCAGTACTTCTAGCTCTGACAGTTCACCCATTTTTGGTAACTGATGGCAAGCACGTGTAGCATTTGTTTGAACATGTTGGATGATTTATGAATGACTGGGCAGTGGAGAAGGGAGTACCATAGATGGCCTAGCTTAAAACCAGTGACATTAATTGCGTGTTGCACAAAGACATCAGCACGCCACCCTGTCCCACGGAGAGTGGTCTGATATACATGAGACCACCAAGAAACATTTTCATCCCACAGTGATGTATCTAAAAAATTAACTCCACTGTTTCAATTAAGAACAAAATTCTGTAGCCTCCAGAATTAGAGCTCCCGATACAGGAAATGCAAGGAAAATGCTACTGTCGCCACTTTATCCTCAACTCTTACACACAAATCCCATTACTTTTTTTGTGTTTTTTGTAAATTGAGGAAGCTTTGCTCAAGCAAATCTAAGACTGAAATATGACCAATATTTGGCAGATCCATGACTATGGAAACCCCACCCACAAGCAGATACATGTGTAGGTCCGCCAAGACAAATAAAGCAGAAGGCAGAGTAAGCGGCACAGCTCTCATATAATATGCACTCAGCCACACAGGCCCTCAAGTACACGTGCAGCAACCTCTTCTAAAGGCAAGTAAAGGCAGCTTGAAAAGGGACCAAATAAAGATAAGGAAAAAACGTGGATTTCATGTTAGCATGCTAACTTTCTATAATGAAGCCGTGATGACCAGCGTTCTTTAAAAATTAATTAGACTGCCCATGAAAGGCCCCAATACAACCTGATAGCTCTCACTGAAATGAAACCACCAACGGTTGCAGTGTGAACAGGTGAGACACTAAGTCTGTCTGTGGTGGAGCCACATGATTCACTCCAATATTTGGGTTACAGGAATTTTCAAAAAGTACATGGGGGGAAAAAAAAAAAAAAAAAAAAAAAAAAAAAAAAAAAAAGATGTGAATTACTGTTAACAATACTATTGTCACTTATAAAGTCCAGGGCTCCCAGTCACGAACCAGTATCCATTTTGTGGTTGGTGCCATACAAACAGAAAACAAAATGACAATCCTTCTTTCAAATTGCTGTCTTTAAGATTCTCTTCTTTTAAACCACCAAAGAACCACTTACATGCAGGTAAACTAAGCTGATTAAAACTATTTTTAAGCAATCTTTAATGAAAAATCCCTATGCAAACCATGGACGTGGATTAATTACTTTTTGCCTCCTTTATAGCTCAAGTCTTCCTTTAACTAATTATTGTTTCAAATCCAAGAACTATTGCTAAATTACAATTGTTCTTCTCCAAAAGAGTTTCTATCTTGAGCTAAATATTTCCAGTCATCAAATATCTACCACAGTCCTTCATGAACAGCTACACTGTGTCTTTTCCACAAATGTCTTGCTGGCATTCTGGATTTTGGTGCAGGTTTTATTCACTGGATCCTGATATTCATATTTCTCTTAAATAAAACTGTCCCTACACACACACGAAACAAAAACAAACAAAAACTTTCTTCTGCAGGTAGTTAAAAAGTGGTCAAATTGTTTCACAACATTCTTTTGCATAACTTTTGCTATAGAGAATTTATTTTCCTCATTTCATAAGTTTCCTAAACCTTCAGTTATCTCATCAACTCTTTCATGAACTTGTTCTATGATTTCCAACAGACAAAGTTTTCAGAAACTTTTTATTCTGTAGTATGACTTTCATGTTTCTCAAACAAAGTGTGACTTTGATTTTTTCCCTTTATTAAACTGTCAGAATGCTGGCTTGAATAGTACACTTTTATTGGGTAAGTTAAATCACATGAAATCATCATGAATTGAGAGGCCAGGAGCTGCACACTCCAGTCTGTGGTCACAAAGAGTCTTAAGAACAAACTTTTTAGCATGGGAGAAAACAGAAATGAGCTCTCTCTACATACTACATTAATACCTCAAAATGGCAGAACATGAATAGACTCTATACAACTAAGAGATTTCAGTAAACCTTTACTAACTTATGTACAGAGAGGACATAGTCTTTTATGATTTGGGAATTTCTCTCTGTAGTATTTCACTGGCCATACAAAACACCAAGCTCTTCTTAGTAGGCTGAAGGTTGCATCTGGTTCTGCTTTCACCTTGTTTGATTGCTCCCAGATTTGTTTAGGCGTTTTTCGTTTTGTTTTTGTAACAATCACAGACACAGGTTGCTTGCCTTTGACTTTTCACAGGATGAAGTATCAGGGATCAGAGGTAATTATCTGTAGTTGGAAACACATGACTTCTTAAACCACACAGCGATCACTGCCCCACAACGGTGGCTGAATGGCTCTTCCACAACCAGTGGGCTCTCCAACACCCTTCCAAACACGCAAGTATATAACACTGCATGGGATTAGAATATTTACCAAACTTTTGTTGCTTAAATACAACAGCAAGCCTAATTCTACTCTTCACACAAGCTCCTTAACTAGGGAACACCATGCATTTGACCGATCCTTGAAGCACGGTTGATTTTGTACCCGTTTCTGTATGCTTCTCACAGCTCCTTCAGCAGAAACCTGGTTGAGAGCCGCCTCCCCGGGCTCCTCCCCACACCACCTATGCCGGTGGCATCCCAAGAGCGTGCCGCAGTTCCGATAAGCCCCGCACCCGCCTCCCCGGCCCCGATCCCACAAACACTTCACCCAAAGCACTTGTCCGAGTGTTTGCGGGCTCAGGCCCCCTGCAGCATCCCCGCACTTCCATAGCCAAGAGTGGCGATAAAAGAGAAAAAAGCGGAAAGCCAGCGGGAACCGCAAGGGCTCGCAGGGCACGGGCAGCACCACCCGAGTGGCAGCTGAATGTGGGGGCTCTGCAGCCCTGCGGGGGGCGAGGAACATGGCCGAAAGGCAGCCCGACGGCCGCTCAAGCGGGGCGAGCAGGGCACGCACCTTTCAGCGTGCCCCCGGCGTCTTCTTCATCTTCTTCATCCTCCTCTTCCTCCCGGGGCCGGCGGCGGGCTCTGCGGGACGGGGCCGCCCCCGCAGCTCCGGGGCCGCCGCTGCCCGTGGCGGCGGAGCGAGCCCAACGCCTGCCTCGGCGGGACGGGGCCGGGGGCGGGGGCTGCGGGACGGCGGCAGAGGGAGGGAGGGAGGGAGGGAAAGTGGAGGGAGGGAGGTGCCCCGGGGCAGCGCCGCCGGCTGACTCAGCCGCGGGGCCGCCGGGGAGGGATCCCCGGGGAGCGCCCGCCCCGTGCCCCCAGCGGGTGTCCGGCAGCGGGCGGGGTGCGCTCCGCGGCCCCGGGGGCGGCGCTGCGGCCGGCTGTGCCCACCGGGGGGGCCGTTATTTGCCTCCCCCCAGCCCTGCGAGCAGCGGGGTGCTGAGGGGCAGCCCGCGGAACACCCCAGCCCTACCTCTCGCCTAAACGCCCGGCGCCGTCCCCGAGCCGGCCCGGAGGCATCGCCTCACGCCCCCCCTCAGCGGCGGCCGGGGCCGGAGCGGGGGCTGGGCCGGGGGCGGGCTGGGTCGCGGCTGCCTCAGCGCATCGGAATGTCGGCGCGACCCCCGCGCGGCAGCAGCCCACGAGGTGCTCTCTTTCTTTCTTTCTTTCTTTTTTTGTCTCTCGTCAGCACCCTGGCCGCTGCCCGGTGAGGAGCGCGGGCTGCGGGAGTGGAAACAACGGCTCAGCTGAGGAGCGGGCTCAGGACCGTGCGCTGCGCGCCCGTGCCAGCCATTATCTCCGGGAAGAAAGAGCGGAGCCTGTGGAAGGGGTGTGGGGGAAACGCGGCACGGTTTCCAGCCGCACGGTGGAAAAATACAGTTTCGGTGAAGTCAGCTGTGCATCTTTGCATGCGGTCTTTTCCATGCAGGGTAAAACAAGAAGAAGAAGTCTCATAAAGTTTCAGTTTGAAGGAAACATTCCCTTTTTTATTTATTTTACTTTTTAAAAGAGGTGTAAGTTGGCCATAGATAACACGGTTTTATTTTGGACGTTTTTACATGAAGGGCACCAATTCTCATAACTAAGGTATGTGGAGATTGTGTCCCAGTACGGGGTTGTAAAACTTACAGTTAATTTACTTCATTCCCTTCCAGTGCAAGGAGCTCGTCACGCTGTTTTCTAAGGGAAGAACAAATCTGAACACTGGAAAGGCAGATTTACTGCTATATGTTGTATTCTGATACTTCAGGAAACACTTTGCACCTCCTTGTCATAACTGCTGTGTAAGGGTGACACAACTGCTGAAGAAGTGTGTCAAACAGCCAGTGAAATTAACCACAGAAAGTCTATGGAAGTTATGTATTTTCAAAGACTTTACATTGTTTCTCTTAATAAATCATGCCAGACACAGTGTGATTGTATTTAGTCACTCACCACTGCCTGAAATTACACCTACTATTCAATTTCGTTCATGCAGTGGCCTACAGGTTCTGATTACCAGAATAACAAGAGAAAATGCCTACCACGGCAAAACACCTCAATCTTTTTAGCAGCATAACATCAAAATCAGTTACTGCTCAGGAGAGGAGACATAGCTAATCTGAATTAAATCAGCCAATTAACTTGTAATATTAATAATTCTGTACTGTAATACAGTAGGATACGATCTGGGTCATTCAAAAAATTGCAGCCATCCCCTTGACTCCAGTGTGGCCCAGATTCCATTCACTGCATAGCAATGCTGTAACACAGTAGTTTGCAAAAAGTAAAACTGGACTAGTCGATCCTTTCCAATTCATGTTCTGTAGAATCTATGTGTTTGTTTTTTTTTTTTCATGTATTATTTCAGTGTACTGAATTTCAACCCTGAGTACAGTTCGTTACTAATATGCTAGTGTACTTTACATTTTTTAGTATCAGAGGCACAGTAACTACTTTATAACTGATCGTGCAATGTATTTTCAACACTACAACAGTGACAATGAATTATCCTCTAAACACACAGGCAACAGGAACCTTTCCGTGAAAGCTTTTTCCAGTTTCTCTCTGCTTTTCCAGTTGTTTTAAAAGGGCAGGAAAGTTAGTATCACATTATTCCAGTGGAAAAATATATATATAAATTTTCCTTCACAATGTGTTCGCACTTTCTCTCAGCTTGCAATACTCCACCAATAAAAGGTATACTGTACTGAAAAGAAAATGATACATTTTACAGAATGAAAATTTGGAGAAGTCACCATACCCTTGACTCAGGATGCTTTGATCATAATCAAAAGGATTAGGCATCTGTGTAACTCCAAACATACACCAGTGGAACAACTTAGCATGCCAGTTAAAAACTACTTAGTTTTTAATGGGATTTCTTCCTTTGAATCCAAGTTAGAAGTTATACGCAAATCATGAGAAAGATGAGTCTGTAGTCACTGCACACCTGTGACTGAGGCAAGCCATCTTCTTTCCATTCCAGCTGAAGTATGTAGTCCTCTAAGGTGATGCAAGAAGATTTCCTTAGGAAGACCCAGCTTTGCAGGAGTGAATTTTGAGCTGTGTGACCTCAGCACTACACAGATGAAGAAACTATTTTTTGGTGCACCAGAATGGACTTGTGGAGCATGGTTTCTTTTTAAATTTCTTGACCAAGCATAAAGTGCTTTAAGAATGCTTCAGTTTTCCTTTTTCTCTCACTGTACATAACTTCCCCAGCTTTTCATGAGAAGTAGCTGTCACTCATCACACTTCTCTATCTGGCCTGACAATGCAGAAAGACAACACTTCCGTTTTACCGTGCTGCTAGATCCACCAGCAACAAAAAGCAAACACATATGCTCAAGGTGGAGATTCAGATATAATGTTTTATTGATCTAGGGTTCTACAGAATATTAATAACTAGAGAAAAATACAGGACTTCCAGAAAATATTGGTATGTCTTTTAGCTCTTAACAAGTAACCCATCATGTTTTTGGAGTCAGAGTTAAAAAAAATTAATTCAACTTCAAGTGATGCATAAATATTAAATTCTACACATCCCTGCAAGATGGTAAGTACTATTTGCATTACACAGACGGGGAAACCAAAGCTGTGCAAGCTTACTCAGGCAATTTTTGCAACATCCAGAAGGAAAAGCAGCTACAGTGCTAGGATCAGTGCTCAAGAATACCTGGCTGTTGGTTATTTTTTTTATTGTGTGTGCACATTCTGAACTCAACTTCACTTGCCTAAGACCTAATGTATAATGGGGTATTTTGTCTTTAATCATGGTATTCTGTAACAATATTTTCAAACAATTTATTTAACAAATTACATAAAACATGTAAAATATGCTTTTAATTTAAAAAAAAAAAAAAAAAAAAAAAAAAAAAGAAGCCCAAAGGTTTTTCCTCAGGCTTAGCTCCAAAATTCACCCTTCAGCTAGGACTGCAGAAAAGCACGCACACATGCTCATGCAAACAAATTCTAAAAGAAAATTAGAAACACATGAAAATAAGGACTGTCTTCTTAACTGCACTCTGGTTTCAGTACAGCAAAAAAAAAATCAGTGATTTACTAATGGATAGGCATTTTTTCTTAGGAAGGAAGACACAGGCCTTATCTGTAGTGAATTTCTCGCTTCTTTCAGCCCAATGGTTCAGTCTACACGGGCAGAGGCAGCAGAAATACAGCAAAGATGGCTCCGGCGGGGCAGCCCAACTCTCTGCAAAGCACAACTCTGTCTTCAGCAGGTGGTGACTCTGCCCCAGCAGAAAAGTCTTTATGGAACGACATTTTCCTCTAAAACAGCAATTATTTCAGTAAATGCCTGATATTGAAATTACTTTATTGTGCTTGCTAGACAAATAATCAAAATCTGTGTCATTTCTTTGCTGATTCAATATAATAAACATATGGAAGACAAAACGTTTGAATCTCAGGAACTGATTTTAAAAGATTAACTCTGGACTGGAGGTTTCTTATGTTCCAGGGGCTTTGTGACTATATTAAAGACTTGGTGTCCCTTTACGTGATGTGAGGTTTGATTTGCCCAGCTGACTGTTATAAACAGCAGCTGCCACAGAGGTCATCCTGAAAGCTGAATGACCATGCTTGAAAATTTTTGACATTTCAATTAGGAAGAAGAAATAAAAGTGATAAAATAAGTAACTTCTTAAAATCACTAATATGATGAAATGCTTAATGTAGCTCTTTGGAGTTTACATTAGCTGCTTGACTTTTGAATCATTAGTGAATTTGTCTTCCAATTAATATTTGGAAGAGCTACAAAATATTTTGAAGTAAATTTGAAAGAAAATCAGCATTGTTTTCACATATCACTAAGAAAAATGTATTTCTGATAAGGATAAATAAATAAAAATATGGAATGTTGAATATAAATATAAATTTAAATATGGAACATATAAATGTAGAATATATAAATATGGAATCATTGTATTATGGATTTGGGGGGGGCTACATAGGTTTTAATCTGACAATTTTCATATTTCAGTGGAGTAACTCCTGACACAGATCCAATTAACAAGGCCTTTTATGCCTCAGCTGTATACTCACCATACAACTTAGATCTATTTTCGGTATGAATTTTTGCTACACCATTATTTCATTATTTTTATTTTTAAAGCTAGAAATTGTACTAGAATACAAGTCTTTTAGACACGAGAGGAACAACTTGGCTTTACTTCATATTACAGTTCAGGGCGTGCTGTAAACAATGGAAGTCAAAGTATTAACGCTACCAAATGAATAAAGGCATTACATCATAATTTTCTGTAAATCTTTCCTAAAAACAAAAGATATAAAATTCATATTGATGAATGGATTAATCTATGAGAACTTGGGGGTCAAGAACAGTATATAAAAATTGGCAATATTGCAGAAGTAAGTAATCAACACTGACATTCCAGACCAAATTATACAGCCATAATGAAAATCTTCAGTATTGAGATGGCTGCTTGCTTCCTCGTACAGTCTCAGATTTAAAGTTTCTCAAGTGCACAGGAAAGTCTTTGATAAATTAGTAATTATAAAATGTGTTGTTTCTTGAATGAAATTGCACGTTTCAACCAGGATGGACTATTGTCCTGAGCATCAAAAACAATAAAGCCTGATTTGTCAAAGCTAATGAGATTCATCTATCTTTGTGCAATCCCATTTACTGTTCAAGTTCACCTGACTAATCCTGTTGAACATTATTTTATTTTTAGGCTTTTTCCTCCTGATTTACAATTTCAAAGGAGTTTTAACAGAAGGCAGTTCTTTTAACAACTCCTAATTATGCCTTTACTTTGGATACAAAATCATTATTGTATGCAGGGATTTGTCAGAAACCAACAAGTGAGCTAACTTGCCAGTGCTCTGTCATCACTTTAAACAAGCAGCCAGGACAATATGTTATTCATATAATAAAATATAAAATCTCTATTATAAAACCATTTTCTTTAATGCCCATGTCTAAACAACAACCAGTCTACAAGGCCAATTTAGTATTCAGATCCTTTATTGGCAACCTGCCGAAGTGTATATTAGAGCAAATTCAAAAACCAACACAACAATTTGCTTATGTAACCAGCCAGAACTGTTAAAGCTATAAAATATTTTTTTAAATTAGTTTAAAAATTCAGAGTTAGTACTTCTGCTCTTCTTAATGTTCAGCTACTTCTTATTGGATTATTCAAAGTGCCCACTATGTAAAAAGTGTATCTCAAAATCTTGTAGTGTTTTCCTTTGAAATTTCCCCAAACTTGTTCCTTTGCACAGATACAGATACATGCACGTATAGAAATTTAATGATTAATAACATGGAGGAAATGGGGATGGAATTCTGTAAACTGCCAGGAGTTTTGTTGCCTTTTCCAATAAGCTGTTGTTCTCGTAGGACTTAAGCGTGTTATCTGATACTATATATCACTAGCATAACTTGTTTTTTGTGCTACAGAAAACTCGCCCATACTACAGCTAAATAAGGCCACAGTTATGTATTTATTGTACATACACACAAAGTTCAATGCTATCAAACATTTTGTGTCTGTTTCTTCTCCAGCTGTTCTTAAAGGACATGCCTGTAAATGAAACTTTATCAGCTCACGACTAAGAGAAATCTTTTATAAGTTTGAATACTTGAAAAAAGCAAATCCTATTTGCTAACACTATGCAATCTTCACATCAAAATAGGGTATTTGACACGTGTATAATACACGACCTTCTTGAAATTAGTAATATCAAAATGAAAGTGTGTCTCGCAGAAACTGATAACTGTTCCACAGCACTAATGTGGGCATTACCCAACTCTAGTTATGATAGATAGATGTTACATGTGTATGTGTGTGTATGTACATATACATATATAACATGTAAATATATGTTCCTTCCACCTCTCCAATAACTCAGATTGCTGGAAATGCAGTCATTCAAAGTCCACAGGATGGATCAAAGCTCTATATAATTTTGATGTACACAACATAGTGAGAGCTTGTCATATCCTACAAGTAAACATCAAGGCAGAGCTTTTCAGAACCTGTTCTAATATTGAGGTTGGGACATTAAGTATTATGCAATAAAGTCTAAATGTACCGGAGTTATCTTAACAAGCTTTTGTATCATTTTTATGAATTAGGATAGAGTTTAAATAAAAATAACTGGCAGGTTTGGCTGTTCAATCTGGTGCAAAGCATTTTTCTGAAAATCCATACTCTGAATGTCTTCATCATGTGTTTGCTTCATATTTATCATATTCTCCTACCTGAGTTCAGTACTTTCAAGAAGGCACTTTACACTTTCTGAGGAATAACCCTAGGTGTAAGGCACTTTGATCTGCTACTAATGCCCTGGTTGGCTGAATGACTGCTAACACTGCCATTACATTGAGAAAGCAGGCGTGTTCAGGAATATGAGCACACAAAGCTTTGGGGGAACTAATATTCTAGAAAAAGAGGCATTACAAACACGGGGATATGTATGGATGTTGACAAAAGTGTCTGAAGAGGACAAAAGGAAGTAAAAGGAAGTAAATTTGTAAGGAATTAATTACAAATAAAGGGGAGTTGAAAGTGAGGGAGCCCTTCATGAGGTAAGCTGAGTCCTCAGTCTCCACCGCGCAACTTGGAAACTCCATTTTACATGGAGTTCGCCTAATGCTAGCCAGTTTCCCCCTCATCACTCTGCATTTTGGAATCCCCCGTTTTGTCATGCATGGAGAGCTTCCAAACCCAGAGCATAACACACATGGTGCTCAGGAAACCAAGGCGGGTTTGCGTGCACGATGCAGCACTTGAGGAGCCCAGCCCCTCATGTGTCTTTTTCCAATGTAGCTCCTGAGTGAGAAGGCATTGCTATTGTTTTTCTCCTTAAAAACAATCAAACTGAGGTAGATTTAAAACATATATTTAAGCAGTTAGTTTATTGCAGCTTGGCAAAAAAAAACTGTATCGATTTTACTGAGAAAGCATAGGATTGGACTATTGAGATAGCCCAATGTGCAACCAATTATTTCTTGTTTGTTTGTTTTTGTGGCAGCTTTGGTTGGCATTTGCTAGCACATGGGAACTCTGGACAAAATAAACATCTGACAGGTGGTATCCGTCTTCTCCATCAGCGATGGAAGACTACTTTCTGTGATGTTACACTTAAGCAATCCACTTTTTAGATTAAGTTCCTGCAGCTGTGACTGCCCCAGCAACACAGTGACACCACCTGCAGCAGTTGATTGGTGCATAAGTTCATTGCAATTTCTTGGGTACTTAGAGGCATAAAAGATGCATGTGGAAACCTATTATTTGTTGATTTGGTTTCACCATATCATCTTTTTAGAAGTGCTAACAATAGAATAAAAAGTAACAATCATATTGCTCTAAATTTAGATTTATGAAAAGCAAGTAAGTCCATTAACTGCCCAAATTGTTCTGAAAGGTCATGAAAAGCACTTCACACTTTTCTGCAATTCTAGTGTAGCATTACAATTATTAATTAGTTGAAAAAGAAAATAAAGCGAGAAAAATCTTTCAGCAATGCCATAAAACCCATGTTTTATCCTGGTTGGCACTTCAATGTTTTACTGAGATCAATAAAAGACAAGTAAATAATACTGTTTTCTACAAATTCAGGTTGGCTGATTAGGTGTTGAAAATGTGAAAGTATGGGAGTACTTGTGGTTAACTTAATGGTTATTCAGAAATGAGTATGTATGACCAGGACTTTCCATCAACGTAGCCAGACAGTCAGACTGCAAAAAGTGTAATTACTATTCTGCTCATTTCTTGCAGAATTAAAAAAGGACATGAACTTTTCAATATCTATTACATCCTTCTTGATGGATGGGGAACATTATTAAAATTACTGTAAATTCTAAAAATATGCATTTTTCAATCAATGT